GGGGGGGGGGGAGATTTTGCTGATTCTATCATGAGAGATTTAAAAAGGAGGAAATCTGAGATCTCCATTTTACTGAAAATTACACTGTAATGCAGGAAGGTTAGAGATCTCGTTTCAAAAAAAAAAACACAAGGGTTATTCTATAAAATGCAGCCACATTTATAGCTTAAATAGAATAATCTTATAAAAATTTAAAGGTGCTCCTTTCAAATTATGGACCTGTCCATTTTAAGTGATGTATTTTGCTCCTTATAAAATGACGGATTACCAATGCAATACTGTCACAGAGAAGAGCTAGGCCTGTCTTTCCTGGGTAATTTGAAAAAAGGTTCTAGATACAATAGCAGGTAAAGCACAGAAAGGGTCATTTGTGACTTCTAGCCATTTCTTTAATTCACACAGAAAACGGAATAACCTTATATACTTATATAATGTAAATTCTTCCAAACATGAAATAGGACCAATAAAAGAGCCAAGACAAATATTCTCAACTCCCTAAATTACCAACAGCACTAACACAGCTGTGGTGTGTACAATGCGTTACGTTTCTTCACCCTTTAAAACTTCATTAGTCAAACTTCCTGTATCTGTTTTAAAAGAAAAAAAGCTGCACGTTGTGGTAAGAGTTTCAAGGAAATTGCAGTTTTTTAAAAAATTCGACTGAAAGCTACTGTCAGTGTAGCTTCTTCTATCTGCTGAATTAAGAAAAGTCGCTGACCTGATTTTTTTTTCCTTAGTTCTTAACGTAACACATGATTCATCTTTCCCTAGAACATAATCAAAGGCTAAAGTGGGAAGAAAGGTGGCCGATGCGCCTGACGTTTCGGGGTGAATGCCGCTCCCGTGTCACGGGCGAGAGGCCCTGAGCGTGGGGCGGGGTGGAGCAGATTCGCACCCAGGCCGCTGCGCACCCCGTTATAAACCATGTTGTGTCTTGAACAGAGTCTGCCCTGAAGAAGCGACAAGATGGGGAGAATCGTTTGACAAACTGCTTTCCCATAAAGGTTGGTGGTGATTTCTTTCCCCCCAAATACTTTATTCCTTAATGGAAAACTGTACAAAGTATGCACGGGACTATCTATACAACAGAGGCTCTCATAAAACTGAGTCTCCTCGGTGCTTTACAGGAATTGAGTTTCTGGTCAACAGAAATAACAAAATAGTCAACTAATGGAAAATAGTTTTAAAATAGTCTCATTTTATTAAGAATTACTTATGGTGGTTGAAATATTACTTCTTAGAGCTGTGGTTAATAGTTTCAAATTTTGAAATGTTTTTTTTATTTTTAAATGAGACCCTTGGTTTTATTAAATCCCAGATTATCTGTGCTATTTTCAGTGCTAAGTTAGCTAAAATGTGAAGTAATTCTTTTGATGGGCACTCAGGAAACCCTCACGGAAATAGTTTTCATTTTATAAATGCTTTCCTCTCCATAACAAGCATCTGCTTTTAAAGCAGATTTTCTAGAAGTTAAGAATCAGGTGGGTGTGTTAAGGTGGAGCCTGGGGGCCGACACTGAGCCCCCCGCCCGCCGTGCGCCGTGGTGGGTGAGACACCAGGCCTTGGGGCCGATTTCCAAACGGCAGCGGGGAGTGAGCTCCTTGGCTCTCACTGGGCCCCCGGCGTCCTTCAGGCAGCACCCCGACCAGCTGGGCGAGGAGGCAGGGAGTGGGGGCAGCCGCGGGGCTCCCCGTTTCCCACACTGACCGGGCGGGGTCTGCTTTATCGTCGGCAATTCCCGCACACTTCCTCCGGCCCGCAGCTGCCCCTGGTATCTCAGGCCCCCTGCTCCGGCCTCACCCTCCGAAACCAAACCCTCCGCAGTTCCCCGGGCGGAGCAGAGCAGGCTGCTCTAAGACTGTTCAGGCTCCGCTCTGGGGTCCCCACCCCAGGTGTCCCCTGGGAGAGGGGTCCCCACGGCGGGGGTGGCCGAGAGGGCAGCGATCAGCCTCAAGCGCCGCGTTCCTTGCGATGAAACCCCAGCTCTGTCTGTCTGTCTGCACTTTCGGTGTTTTTCGGCCTCAATTGTCTATATTGAGGCTCGGGTGACCCGGTCATGTTCCCCTGAATTTAGTGACCCTAAGAATCCAATTCCGCAGACTATTCCTGAAAATTGTCCCTCTTCCAATGAAAACAGATTCCATAATATTAACTCAAAGAATAAAAATTTTAAAAAAATAGAGAAGCCAAGACTTCGGTGTAGGGAGCGATGTCGTGATGACCTCGAGGGCAGCAGTGAGGGGGCGTCCGCGCTGAGAACATATAACCTGTCACTCTCCCTACGTCACGGCTGCTTAATACTCCGTGGCTTCATCGCTCGCTCCCCGTGGAGAGGGGATCGACAAAGCGCCCCCCTCAGTGACTCCCCCTTCCTCACTCCTCAATCCAACCACTTCTGAATTACAGTTACAACGCTGGCCAAACGGGTGCCGAACCTGGCCCAGCCTAACTCCACCACCGCAAAACGGATCCGTTAAGACTAATTGCAGCCACCTGTGTAAAACTCCCCTCCCTAATCCACGCCCCCCAAATTTGCTTAAAAAAAAAAAATTATTATTTCCAATATTCTGGCACCTCCCAGCCCTCTAGCTTCATTAGCAGCCAGAGCAAGGGACACGGGGGAGTGGAATTCGTTTGTCAGCAGCTTGACCGTTATGAGGAATCTTATTGTGAGATTCCGCTGGGAACCGCCAGGCCCAGCACATCCAGGGTGCACCCCGAGCGCTCAGCCAACAGAACCAAGCCTGCTGCCAGGGAGTCTGTCCAGGGTCCCTCTGAGGGCCGAGTCCAGGGACTCTCCTGCCTCACGAGGGCCGTATAATCTTCCCAGTTAAGCTTCCTGATCGCCTTGACCTTCAGTGTCCTCCAAGGTCAACGGAGATGATGTCTTTAGTTCCAATGGAAGCAGATTTCTGTCGGAATTAGATGAGATGGGGGCTACGATACCGACGATTGCCTGACGCCGCACAAGTGTAAATGTTTACCGCTATTGGAAAATACCAACAAGTGTAATTACCGTTCCGTGTTTCCCTGTCCACTGCTCGCGGGACAAACATCATGGGGGGTTAGATTGCCGCTGGAACAAAGACGGCGTGGGCTAGGTTTATTGCTTCACCTTAATAAATGGGTACCTAGTAATTTCATCACACGCTCAAAGCCCGTTCGGCGGGAAGGGAGGTTTGGGGAGGGTACTTAGTTCTCTAGAGAGCGCTCCCCCGGCCCTGCTTTACAAGCAGTCAAAGCCAACCGGGGGAAACGCTAAATCCGCTCTCTTACTGCTGGGAAGACTAAAGCTATGAAGCGGCAGAGCGCTGAATCCAGAGGGGTGACGCCGATTCCAAAACGCAGCAGCGACCCGCTGGCTGTCACCGTCAGAGCTCACGATCGAAGTGCTAATTAAATTACACTGAACTCACCAGAAATTACGTGACTGGTACTCTTTTCATCAGTCCTCAAAAATCCAATTATTTTCATTGCAAAACTTATTTTAATATTAAATTATAAAGCTTAAAATAATCAGCTAAAATGAGTCTCTTGGTGGCAATGGTTAAATTCAGCTCATTTGTACTGGTTTGACTCTAGACACATACACACCCCAAAAAAGGAAAATCTTATACTTGTGTGTGTAACACACACACACCCCCAAAAAAGGAAAAATCTTATACTTGTGTGTGTAACACACACACACCCCCAAAAAGGGAAAGATCTTATACTTGTGTGTGTAACACACACAACACACACAGGCCTGGCTCTACCTATCAAATTGTATAGAATTTCTCTTTGGTTAAATGTGTCAGTTTCTCTAATTCTGTGCCGTAGCTACAGAAAGGAAATAGAACTTGTATTAAATTTAAACGGGACATGAAATGAACAGTAGAGAAAGTTGAACCTTCAGTTTGACAAGACAGCGGATATTAAAACCACTGGAGACTGGTCTTAGCGTCTTTAGAAACGGAGCCACAGAAAAGATGGTTCTTACTTTAGATTTTAGGGGAAAGTCATGAGAACTCACCCTCTGGTCAAGGAGAGAAAGGGCACCCAGGCAGAGCGCCGACGCAGGCAGGGTGCACTGCAACGAAATTAGGGAACTAAGAAGCAGTAATTCCTTATTGAGAAACAAAACTTGCAAAAAGGTGGCTTAAGATAACAGACAATAGGCCAATGAGACTAAAATAGAATGTTTCTGTGTGCTCCGCAGAAACCAAAAATACCCATGGAGTTTTCTGGTATCTCCACTACTTTACTCGAATTTCACTCTTAAAATGTAGTTTAGCTTTTTTTGAAAATTTAAGAAAACATAGTAGGTAAAAGTCCAAGGAAATCTAAACAAAGTATGGACTTAAATAATAATAATGTATCAACATTTCATAATAGGAGGGGACTGAATGCAGGGAATATGGCAACTGTACTATCTTCATAACTTTTCTGTAAACCTAAATTTATTCTAAATTTTTTTAAATAAGCTCAAACATGTTACCTAGTCAGTTATTACCTGTGTCGTAAAGGGAGGTGATGGAGAAATAACAGATTAAAAAAAAAAAGATGGGCCAAAGATCCCCAGATTTTATTCCATATTAAAAGGAAGGCGACGGTGCCTTTTACAGATGACAACCAGGCGGCACAGTATTTGCACTACCGGTTAGAGCTGGAACCGGCTTAGCTGCTGGAGGCCTTATCGAAGCTCAGGGTTTTGGGGACGCGCACCTGGAACGTGGAAGCGGGTCTGATCACAGACAGAGGTCCTCTGACTGCCTCCCCTAGCTGACTGAAGACGGCACAGAGATCGGCATTTCCCGCCAAGGGTCCCCACTCCCCCTGCGACACAAGCCTCTATTTTCCTGGGCACCTTTTTACCCCCACTCGCAGGGAATAAATTCCAATACATTTAACCTTTTTAATTGATGACTATTTGCTTGGACTCTTTGCACCCTGGGCTGTGGCCCTACAACAGGTGAGATAGAAGTAAAATCCGTAGGTCCTTGCAGCCCCTTGGCTTAAAAATACGAGCCGATGAGACGGAGGGAAAATGCTTATTGCTGACGCTGAGTCAAGGCCGCGAGGAAGCGAGTGCTTCTCTTTTGGGAAAGGAAACGAGTGCTTCTCCTTACACTTCACTAGTGGCTTTTGAAGCTGCTCTTCCCGGTTTTCAGTGACCAATTTTCTGCAAGATAAGGAACTCCAGGGTTCTGCAAAATTAACCCTCCGAGTCAGGCTTACCCATCACACCCCCGATTCCTTAATCATCCAAAGTATAAGACTGATTCCACCTGAAATCACAAACGGGTCACATAAATGAATTGTCGTGGCAGAAGTAACCGGGACACCCTGCGGCCGGTCATGAGCCACGAGCCACGAAGCCAAATATCCAAGGGGAAACAGTGCGGCCTAAATAGAGGCTGTGTTGCTGTAGGTGGGCTTCCAGCTTCGGAGAACACGGCTTTTGTTTCATTTGGTTTCTTGGCATCAGAAAAACCCTCCGACAGATGCCAGGGTTTCCATTTAGGGACTGGCAGGCTCAGGCGGCTCGGAGTGCCGGGCGCGCCGAGCCAGCTCCGTCCGGGGTGAATCCTGGCCTCGGGTCCTAGCCCCGCCGCGGCCGCCTGAAGGACTGTCAGTAAGCAACCGCCTCCGTGTGACAGGTGGGTCCACAGCGGCGGGTCTTAACGCACAGCTGCCCGGAGGGAGCAAGAGAAAAGGAAACAGCTAATGCGCTCGGATCATCTTGCACAACAGGGTCTGTCGCTGTTGTAGGAAAGTCCTCTACTTGGACTTTAAACGAATGAGCCCCTCCTCTGTTGGCCTTCTCGCAGCCCCTTTCGGAGCCCGCTCCCCTCTATCGCGTTCGTATTATGCGACGTGACGGGCGTGCCTAGCACTCGGCGCGTTTTCTGAGGCCTGTTGATTGTCTGCATCGGTCAAGGTCACGGCCAACCCCGGTGGCAGGGTCTCTGCGTGGTGCTCCAGGCAGGACGGCCAGCAGGTCGTCCCCAGCGTGCCTGGGAATGAGCGAGGGGCTGTGAGCTAAGCAGCATTTATGTTGTTTTCAGAAAGGCCTCTATCTGGACTCCGTGAAAGTTCCTCTTCCTCCCTCTGCTGCTCCAGACAGACTGTCTCCCCTGCAAGGCCCTCCCTTAGTCCGTGGCGTACACGTGGACTTACTGATCCCTCGCAGTGGGGACTTTGTTGTTTGCAGTCCTTCGGTGGTAAAGGTTCTATAATTTTATCCAGAACAAACCTGGGTTCAAACCCCAGGGCTGTCTTTTACCAGCTGTACGATTTAAGGCAGTTTCACTCTCTGAACCTCAGTTTCTCCATCTGTAGCAATGGGTCTAACAGGACTTCTCCAGAAAGGGCTGACTTGAAAATCAAACAGAACTGCACCGATAACGGGCATCGAGCAGGGTGCCCAGACCTCGCCAACCCGCCAAGTGTGTAACTATTGTAACGAATACTGTATTTTCAGTATATGCTACAGTCCTCCGGTTCGCACTGGGTATCTCATAAATTTTTAGAAGATAGATGAAGGAAGTTATTTTTAATAAGTAAGGACCAATTTCAGTTGCCTGGCATATGGACGATCCCTTGTAGGTGTCGGCACAAAGCATTTTATTAAAATTGAGATTTATGAATAGGAAAAGTAATGCTCAAACCCTCCTAAAATTGTGACGATTATTAATTGACTCACTTTGGAATAATCTGGTATTTAAGAACTGGTCCATCTGTGCTTATACATGCTCTGCGGGTAGAATGAATTGAAATTTAGAAGTGTTTTCTTCACTGGGGTCCAAGTAACTCTGTTCCTAAGCCAAATACAATACAGCCTTGTTTCCTCTTTGCACACCACGTCTGACCTAGGATAGACTGTGCCCCGTCCTAAGGGGATGGGCGTTTCATTTTTCCCTTTAAACAGTGACAAAGGAACTCGAAGGAAGGAGCTAAGGAGCCGCAGACAGACAGACAGACCACCTGCAACAAGTACTCTGATGTCCTCATGGCCGTTGCCTGTCTACCCAGGGTTCCCGAAAACCTTCTCACGGTCATTGTGCCGTCCTGTCCCACACTGTTTCCTAATATCTAGCCAAGGAATTCTCTCCAGAAATCTACTTTACAGCAGCTACCAAGCCAGTAAGAAATTTCAGATTTCCATTAAAAAAAAAAAAAATACAAAGAAGCCATCAGTTCCGAAGACAGTGATTAGGGATAAATTGAGAGAATATAATTTTTTTAAAGAATTCAAACCAGCACAAAGCGGATGTTCATTAGGGGAGGGAAAAGACACACATTTTAGAAATCTGGAAGGGCGAGGTTATGGCGGAGGCCTATCGCCTGGTTCACACCAGCTGGTCTGCGGACTTGTTTTAGTTGTGGTTTTGCTTTCACAGGCCTACCCGGGGCCCACCTTTCCAACCCTACTTCAGCTTTAAATTAGGGGTCGAAAGGCTTATTTCGCCTCCGTCTCTGGTTTCCTTCCAGAATCTATATAGAAGGTGGGAGGAGGGGGAAAGGCAGCGATGAAACCAGAGACTATGCAACCAAAACCAGCTTTCCTGTTACATCAGCAGAAAAGGAAGCCACCGCGAGCGGCTGCCGACCGGGGCCCAGGGGTGCTCAGTCCGCCCACCCTAAAGTCACCGGCCGGCGGCTCCAGGTCTCAGGGGGTGCTGCCACCCAGGGTGTCCCCCCAAAAAATGTACACACACTGTCAGCAGCTGAAAACTCAATTCTGAAAAGGAAATGCAGTTCACTGAACGCCGCCTTTATTGTTATTCAAAGTGTGTGTGTAGGTCTCTTGGGACACCCTCTCGTTTTCTACCATTAAAGGAGCGTAACGTCAGGCAGTCGCGGTGGCCCGAGTGGCGTCCATGCGCATTCAGCCACTGAGGTGCAGAGGGCGAAAGGAACCGAGGGCGAGCGAACCAAACGGGGCCCCCTGAAAACCCGTAACCCTGGGAAAAAATAAACATTTTTTTTTTTACAAGACCAAACACTAAATAAATAAAAATATGTAACAACGTTAAGAAAAAACTTCTTTCAAGAATCACTGTCCACTCGCGTGCCCTGGCTACCTTCCGAGGAAAGGGGCATGACTCGGGTTGGGCCACGAACCCCGAAAGTCCAGCGCGGGCTGGTGCAGTGAGGGAAGGGGGTTAGCATCACTCACGGGCCACTCGGGCTTCTCCTCGAGGCTGGATTTGCCGGCTCGTCCGGGAACCACTCAGGTCATGTGCGACTATCCTACGGGCACCTAAGGACCGAGACAAGTCCTGAGCCGCACGCCGGACAGGCGACGCCCTCTCCAATTCTTGTCGGGCCCGACGTGTCTTGTTTTCCTTTCGCCAGCAGGTCATCGCCGACACCTGGCGCTCTGGGTGAACTTACTGGAAACCGTAGACTCCCCCTCCCGGGGAAAACGCCAGAGGAAGGGGCGGTGGGCAGACAAGCCCGGGGGCCTCCCGTCCGGGTGGTGCCTGGAGCCATCCCGTTTCTGATATTTAGGGGATGGATGCCTATAGATTGTCACATCTTTTCTGACCGCTGATTTCTTAAACACTACGCTCCTGGATCTCTAATACATTCAAAAGATTGCTCACAACGCTAAATAAAAGGCTTCGTGACAAAGAGGACAAGTGTTCTACGTGGGAGAAAGAAGTGGTGATACGTAAAGCACAGTTTGAGGACTGTGTTAGTTTTCTGTGGCTGCTGTGACAATTTATAACAACGTTAGTGACTTAAAACAACACAAATTTATTATGTGACTCTTCTGTAGGTCAGAAGAGCAGCATCGGCCTGGCTGGGGGGAAATCAAGGTGTCAATGGGCNAGAGCAGCATCGGCCTGGCTGGGGGGAAATCAAGGTGTCACTGGGGGGTTGTCCCTTCTGGAGGGTCTAGGGAAGAATGCCTTTCGGAGTTATTTGGGTTTGGGGCAGAATTCCGTTTTTTGAAGCTGTGGACTAAGACCTTCCTTCTCTGGCTGGCTCTAACCTGAGGGCCATTCCACCTTCTAGAACGCGACACGTCCTCTGGCTCATGACGGTCTCCTTTGCCATCTTCAAGGTCAACCACAGTCCTCCCCACGCTGCATCTCTCCGACCCGCTCTCCTGGCGTCTTCACTTTTTTTTCTTCCCTTTTTTACCCCCAGTGATCCCCTCCACCCCACATCCAACCCCCAGGCCTTCCCCAGACCAGTGTCTGAGTCCATGGGTTCTGCTTCTAAACATGTAAGTTCTTTGATTGATCTCTCCCCGCCCTCCCTCTGAGACCCCTCAGTCTGCTCCAAGCTTCTATGTCTCTGGATCCACTCTGTTCATCAGTCTATTTTGTTTATTAGATTCCACATATGAGTGAGATCATGTGATATTTGTCTTTCTCTGACGGCTCATTTCACTCAGCGTAACACTTTCTAGTTCCCTCCACGCTGTCCCAAGGGCCAAAAGGTCCTTCCTCTTTACAGCTGCGTAGTATTCCGCCGCCTTCACTTCTAAGGACGCATGTGATTCGACTGGAGGCACCTGTGTCGCCCACGTGCTCACTCTCTCAGCCACGCTCCTTTGCCCGAGAGGTATGCGAGGTTCTGCGGACTAGGGCATCCTCGGGGGCTGTTTCTATGCCCACCAGAGGAAGTACTGCTTTCCTGGGCAAGGTATATTTCGACAATTTCTTAGTTTGTTTGAAAAGTGAGACCAGGAGCAGCTGAACATGCCTGAAACTCAGTCTCCCCGTCTGCGACAATGAAGACAGGGCACATTCCAGGCTCTGTCGTAAATAGTAAATGCGGTCAGGAGTAGAAACAGCGCTCAGCCCACAAACCCCCCCCAGGTGTTATCGATGCAAAACCTCTTAGTGTTCCCATCATTCTACCAAAAGAGATGCATCGTTCTTGCTTTGTTTGGTATCAAGCTGTTTATGTTAGAAATAACCGTCGACCTTGAGAAATCATTCTAGAGGGCAGCGGACGTAAGAAATGAACGTAGCCCTGGCTGGGTAGCTCCGCTGGTTAGAGCACTGTCCCGATACCTTGATACACCAAGGTTGTGGGTTCGATCTCTGGTCAGGGCACCTACAAGGATCAGCCAGTGAATGCGTAAATAAGCGAAACAAGCAGCCGATGTTTCTCTCTCTCTCTCAAAAAGTCAATAATTTAAAGAAGAAAAAGAAATGAATATAAGTGAAAATGAGTTGAGCAGACAAACCCTGGAAACAGAGTCTAAAAACAGGGAGGCCCAAGGTCCTGAGCAGCAGAGGTATGGTCTGGAAGGGAGGGGGCTCCCGGGCTCCATCGAATAATCCACACCCACCCCCCACCCCCCCCCAGGAAGAGGCAAGACTGAAACAGACCCAGAGCAAGGTCCAGGGTAGGGGTGACTCCTACTCGGGTCTCAGTACGATCCCAGCCCCGTTTCAACAGGAATGGCTTTTCCCCTTCACAGCCGTGAAGACGACAGCTGGTTTCTATGAGGTCCCTCGTGGACAGCGTTCGAGACATGGGCACCTGTGCCGCCTCAGAGAGAGTCGAGGCTGTTCTGTTAATGTTTCCAGCTACACGTTAAGATTGAGTGGTGCCTTTCCCCTGCGTTAATAGTTTATAGTTAAAATACGTCACTTCCTTTCTTGGTAGATGGACTGGAGACTTTTACCAGGTTTCTCAAAACCGAATTCAGTGAGGAAAACATTGAATTTTGGATGGCCTGCGAGGACTTCAAGAAAAGCAAAGACCCTCAACAAATGATCTTCAAAGCAAAAGCAATATACGAGAAATTCATCCAGAATGATGCTCCGCAAGAGGTAAAGATAATTGGGGGGGGGGGAATGTACAAGTGTTTGAAAATGTTTGGAGAAAGCCTGCCTTCATCAAATTGGTGGCCCCCACACATTCCACCAGAAAGGTCAGGATTTTGTTGACGCAGAATGGGTCCCCATCCAAACTGAACGTGTTGTAAGACACTGCCGTGGAAGAAGGGGTACAACTGAAGTTGTTCCTCAGGGTTATTTTGATTCTAGACTTAGAGTGAATACAATTACTTGCGACATTTAGATTCAGTCACTTATTCATATTAGTCACTTTATCACAAGCAAACCCTCACAGAAACTAAAGAGGAAGGCAAGAGCAATCGAGGCGTTTGTATCATGCCCCACTTTAACGTTAGCTCATCGACCTGTACAAACTTTTATTTGCCCCAAAATGATTATTCCTCCTCAAGATAAACTAAACAAAATTCATAACAGAGAGGTGAGGGACACGTAATGGGGCAATGGTTCAAGTAAAAACGCAATTGTGATTTTCTTTGCAAACTCAGTGTGAGTGATGTTACAATTGCTAAAAATGGCTGTAAAACTAGAAAATATTACCTATCCTCAAATACGAATTCAGCAGACTTTCTATATTTTTATTATGCGTCAATAAATGGTGTTTCTTCACTGAGAGGGTAGGTCTGGTGGGCGATACGGTTAAGAGCTCTGCTTGACTACAGATTCGTATTGTCCCTGAGGGAGCACCGTCTCTGAGGATACTGGTCCTCACGGAATGAGGACTGTTCTCCTGGCCTCAGTATGTTTCATTCTGATCTGTGATTCACTGTTTTTCCCAAGGCCAACCTTACACACAGACCAAAAAAGGCAGCGAGGTGTAAGGTGTTACCCAGGAGGGGAAAGAAGAGACCTTACCTGAAAACTCACCCCCATCACAACCAGATATATCAGCGGCGCTTTGATAAAAAGCATTAAAGGATTTTATATCTTTAAAAGATACTCATTTTCAGCCCCCATCTACTTAGGAAAGCATCATAAGATGATGAAAAAAGCACTGGGATAAAACAAGAGCCCCACACTGAAATCCCACATAGGCCCCAAACTCACTGTCGGCCGTCAACTGAAAATTATTTTATTAACGATTAAAAATGAGTTGAACCGAACGACCTCTATGGTACTTGCTACTACAACACCCGGTTGTTCTAAATTAGCAGCGAGTGGGAAGGACCAGCAGCATGGGGAGCCAGGGGCCGCAGGGGACGCCACCCGAGGGCCAGGCACCAGAGCCCTAGGCCCATGGCAGGCAAAGCACCCAAGCACCAAGCACCACGCTCCCTCCAGTATTGAAGGGCCTTGTCTGTACCGTTTCTCAAAGGTCTTGACTGCCGGAGGCTGACCCTAATGACACTGTTTTGATGTTGCCGCTCAGGTTAACCTTGACTTTCACACCAAAGAGCTCATTGCAAAGAGCATCACGAAGCCCACCCTGCACAGCTTCGACGCCGCGCAGAGCAGGGTCTATCGGCTCATGGAGCAAGACAGCTACACCCGCTTTCTGAAATCGGACATCTACTCAGACTTGATAGCGGGGAGACCCCAGAGACCGAGCAACCTCCGGCGACGGTCACGTTCCTTCACCTACAACGAATTCCAGGACGTGAAGTCGGACGTCGCCATCTGGCTATAAAGAAAGATGCTTTTGCTCATGTCGGGGGCGAGGTTGTATGTCTGCTTCTAAGGCACAGCTGTGTGTTAACAAAGGGGCCCGTCGTTTAAAATAAAATACGTCGTGTGAAAGGATGTTAAGAATGTAAATCGAAACTTTTATTCTAGCAATACAGACGGTATCTGCCAGTATATTCTGTAACGCTTGGCATTTGACTTCATTCTGTGCATAATCCGAAAATCAGATGTGAACAGACACTGATTAGTGAACATCAACCAAAATATAATGTCTATGATGCCTGAAACAATGAAGTAAATTCATTGAAAGACCAAGATTTAACCCATAAAATTTTATTTCTTATTCTTAAGCCTCTCTATTGTGAAATATAATAAATATTCTCTAAAAAAAAAAAAAAAATCATATGATCACGAAGGAAACAAGAACTCTGCAATTAAGCCTATTAATTTATTTTTTGCTGGCCAATTTAGGGCATATTTTCTCCTTTCCTATTTTTCGTTTGTTTTCTCCTCCAGGTAGCTATTTTGCCAAGAATTTTAGGCAAAAGAGGTTTCAGAGTGTTGTACCTACATATAAACAGATGTATATATCAACAGCTTGATTTTTATGAGATAAATAATAATTACAATTATTCTTCAGTCTACTAAGTATAATTTCTCTGCCACAATTAACTATTCTCCCTCAGTAAGGAAAATCCTTAGGCAAATGTTGCAGGTTATATAAAAAAAAGACAATATTTATACTCTACACAGGATTTTGATTTAAAAATTAGGATTACAAATAACAGATAAAAAGTAGCTGGAGAGAAATAAAAATCAATAAAATAACTAAATGTTATGTTTTTAAAAATCATGTGTAAAGAAGCATTTTTTAATCCCTGAATACTGAAAATATTATTGACTGTGCTTATTCCAGCAGCCATCAGTATCTGCCTGAAAAAAGAAAAATATATCATTTAATCTTCATGTTCTCATTTTTCATTCAGAATCTCTGAAGTAACTTAAACAGGGGCCTCCGCTGAATGCCCGAGTCAGAAAAGGCATCTCCAAGCGTAGAGTTACGTAATCATCACAGCAAAGACACTTACTAGATCCTAACAGGAATCAGGACTCTCTTCAAACAAAACACAGAATCGGGTGCATGTATCAAATACACCCGCCTGTCAGAAGTCATCTTGTTTGTTACACTGGAAATTAAACCTTAAATCAGAGCTCAACATGAAAGTTCCTCCTTTCAAATTTATTTTGGCTGATATTATAAAGATGTGCATGAATATGCACATACATGTCTATCGTTATATGAAATTGGAAGAAATGCAAACTACATTTTAAAATCAACTGCTTTTTTTTTTTTAACATAAAATGCTAAGGACACTACAATTTAATTGAATGGTAATATTTGGAGGAATGAAAATTCAGATAACTTCATTTTGTGGAAAAAATGAACTACATTTATTGGTGCGTACTATCTAAACTCGTTGACCATGATTTCTAACAGTATTAAAATTTTAGTTATATATATGCACACAGTTCCAGACTTCCAGATTTTTTGGAAGGACTGAGATACTCAATAACTAGTTTTATAGTAAAACTGCATATTCAATAAATACTCAATATTAAAATACTAAGTTTGGGTAGTTCTATCTGGCTTTTATACTGAAGATATACATTCCATATTAAATGAGTTGATCTCTTAAATTCATTTCTAAATAGAAGCTACCTTAATTTTTAGATACTTAGTTGGGTAATTTTTAAAAGACTTAAATGGAGCTGTTGATTTACTCTTTTGCTTTATAAAAACCCGTCTTGCTTGTTTTTAATACTTTCTAATTGCTTTCAAGAGCCTAATACGTCTACAAAATAAATGCAGGAATGAGTAACGCTGGTTAAAATGAGTATTATAAACAGCGGAAACTGAAATTGATTGCAGAGGTTAATTTCTGTCTCCCACGTTTCAAGGCTGAGTCTTTGGCCAAGATATAAATTGGGCTGTTTGCTCGGATCTCTTCAAAGGGTAAGTGATGACTCAGACCGGACTCGACTTCAAGGAGAAAACACAAAACGACATTCAGCTATCAGATGTAACACCACAGTGATGAATTTGTAAGTTTTTGATGAATATGCCCTTTTTAAAATCTCTAATTATGCTACACAAAATAAAAGAGCATTAAAAATCACACCAAAACAATGACTCCTACAGAAAGCAGCACAGGCTCCGGCAGAAATAGGGGAGTGGAGATAAGGTGCTGAGCAGGACAAGGGGAGAACCAGAGAACCCACCCCCGTGAAAAAGTCCTCGAATAAGAATTTTGTGCATTTATTAATATGTCGTATGTGACTGAATTACAGACTTTATTAAACCACTATCAAACCTGTTTCTCTCTTTATTCTACAAGCCCTGAAGTCAACTAGCTTGACAATTATACTACTCCGTGTATTATTTTTTTTCTAGGTCTTTTAAAATTAAAACTTCTGAAAAATCAACGGAGTCTCGTGTGATTTTACAGATGGGGTTATTTCCTCCCCCAGACTCCAGCTTCCTAAACTAAGTAAGAGTTTATTGAGATTCTTCCATACACTCTCTCCCTGTAAGCCTGGCTTACACACACAACTCTTCCTGGGTGCAAAAATAAATGCCAATACTTCTATTTTTTATTCCATGCATAACATTACATTCCAAAACACTTTAATATGAAAATTGAGTCAGGATGTTTAGATAAAGGAAGTCAAACCCATGTAATATGATTTCAGAGTTTTGAAAATAAGATGCTCTGTGAATTTAAAATAAACGGCACACGGGAAGCCCCAATTTTCCTTCCTTGGTATGCGAGACATGGGTGCCTCCAGGCATCATAAGGTTACAGCGAATTTTAGGAGGCAGTTGAGATTTTGTGAACAGAAAATACACAAACTGCCATTTTATGTTACTCAGAAATCACCAGATTTAAAACTACCCTGACACGCTCAGAAATAAAACAGAAAATAGTTTATCATTTGTAACTACATGCAAAAAATTATCTTTTTAGGTTCTCGGTATTTAAGATTTTTGTTTGTTTGTTTCCTAGGATGTGAGTATGTTATTGTAAGTACACATGGGGATATTCAGATTACTTATAGAATTGAGTATCTTCCTCTCAATATGTGTCTCACCAACTGCAAGCAGCCGAGGGAAATGTCAAATACTCCAGGATATGGTATGGAAAGCACCCGCCAATTGTGAAAATATTAGGAGCTAACTGTGGCAGGCTCTATTTTTCTGTCGTATGCCATCATTTTAAACCGTGCTATTCCCTTTTCATCCTGAACAAACAAAATATTTCAACATTTTAGTTTTTTCTTACCAATTACCTAGATTTTTATTTCATTATGTAACGGGGCTGATGACTTGCAGTGCTCAAGGCTTCTCTCAAACCTGAACGGTGCAGAAGAGACATTTTCTGAAAAGAGACGTCTCCTAGGCAGGTGCATCGTACAATTTAATTTCATTCAATGAGGTAAAGGTCAGTGTGAGGCTATAAGAAAGTTAATTTACGCGATGTACGCACATGGAATATGAAAATAATATAGTACGGAATATGCACCATTCAAGCTTCTAAAACCAACCTCGGGGCTCCAAAAGCAATGGCAGGAAATGGTTCAACAACTACAATAAACTTTTTTTGATGATGTCAACTAATACACTCATTCTAAGAGCCACGAAGAGACAATCTTGTAGAACAACCGATTCTAGGAACTGGCCGTCCTTTGTGATGCGCTTCCTAAGTCCACGGGCTTCAGAAAATGCTCATCAACGCTACACCTGTCGACACTAACACAATTCTCCATGTAGGTCTACAATCGAGTCCCGTAGTTCGTGTCAGCTTGCTATTTATGCTGATGATCTTTTTGCAGCTCAGTATTATTTTAATCACGGCAACTGACACTCATTGCTTTATTGGCTATGTCCCGTGTTGGCTCATTTGAACAGGATTGAAATTGCATTCTTAGGCACAGTAGTGTGGCAGACACCTGTTGATCTGTTTATCCTAAAATCAAATTATTTTAATAAGAGTGTCATAGAATTACAGCCTCTCTCGGGGCCACTCAAGGGATTCCTGCCCTGTTCCCTTCAAAAAGAATAATTAACGATTCTTGATAAAGAGGATTTCTTGATGAAGAAGTCAGATTTTTCTGGAACCCTCTTGGGCATGGAAAAGAATTTCTTGGCATTTTATAAAGGGTCCTGCAAAATATTAATTCAGAGACATGATCCTGTTTGTCCGCTGATCTGAATTGCTGGGACGCCTAGAAAAACACACGGTGTGGCTCGCAGGACCGCCCCCAGGCGCCTTCCCGCAGCGGGTGGCTCCGGGCGCCTGCCCGCCTCCCCCTCTCCTTCCACCGCCGCGTGCACCGGCTCCAGCAGCCCTGATGTGGGGCCCGGGGTCTTAGCACCTCATTGGGTTCTGTAGTCTCTGCCCAGGTGAAAACAAGTGTGTTGTGGGGACAACCCCGGGGTCAGGGGACACGGTGCCAAGAGGTGGGAGCAGACACAGCGCCGTGGCTGCCCGACCATCGCCCCTGGCAGCTGGAGAGACGCCCGCAGTCCTGGGAAGAGCCCGAGTCACGCTCGGAGAGAGGAAAAGCAGTTTCTCCGTGATTTTTGCTCCCTCTGTTCCCACGGGCCCCAAGTCAGGTTACGCCACTAAGTGAAACATCTCGGGGTGACCGCCTTTCATCGGCTCTCGTCTTCACTGACTGCTGTATGAGGGGCTCCTGCCCGGCCGGGGCGCTTCTGCTGGGGCGTTTATGGTCATTTTAAGGTTTTATCTTTGTCT